GCCAGCGGGGAAACCCCAGCCATTGGCTGCAAGCGGGGGACGGAAGAGAGGGAGTGAGGTATGCAGCCAGAGGGGTTCACCGGGGAACGGCACAGCAAGCAGCGAACCTCAGCCACTTTGCAAGGAGGCAGGGGAAGCCCCGGACAGCTGCCGATGACTAGCTAACTGGGGAAACCGGGCTGCCGGCTGCGAGCCCCCCGCCCTGTGCTCCTCTTTTCTTCCCCAGAGCCAAACACTTCCCTTCCCTGCTGTAACCCAGTCTCCTTTCTCCCCCAACCTTATGTCCCGGTCCCAGCTGCTAACAAGTGCAGACTGGAGCCGCAAGCGCAGACGCAACCCCCACCTTTTCCATTATTTTCAGCGGGAAAATTGACCCTCATAACATGTTTTGACTTAGCACAATCATTTTCTGAAATGTATCTGCCGTGTTAAATGAGGGATTACTGTACACCACACCCAGTAGGTGTGTGGGTTACAAGTTCACCTCCCACTCTGGGGTGAAGGAGGAAATCAAGCAATGCATGAACTGCTGCTGCTGCTGCTGCTGCTGCTGCCTCTCCAGTTGACTCACAGTTTCTGCTGTTCTGCCTGCATCTCTGCCCGCTGCAGTCACTGCACCACCATTCACTCTGCCCCCACTGCCCATCATACCGTCGCTTTCTCTGCTGCTACCTGCCTTTCTGCTATAACCTTTTTGACGCCATGTCTTGAGGTCCCACCACTTAACGCAGCTGCCAGTGATTTCAGCAATTCACATGGAACCTCACTGCTAGTACAGGCTGTTTGGCTGAAATGCTACCCCACAGCAGGTCCTTGGGCAGGACTACACTTCAAATGCTGCATTGGTGCAGCTGTGCAGGCCTAGCACTTGGAACTGGCTCTCAGAGACTTCAGCTCTAGTGATCTCTAAAAAAATCAAGATCCAACTGAATTTAATCAGCTCTAGTTTTAAAAAACGGGGAAAGGGAGGGTCAAATGGCATCTAGGACATGTAGACAGAACCCTCCAGGTAGGAACACCTGTTCCCCCACCTGCCCTTTCATTGGCATTTGTCATCCGTTTTCCCTGATTAGCCAGTGCAGTTTGGCTGAGGGTGACCCTTTCAATCAGCACGTGCTGCTGCCCTTTACTCATACAATAAGGATAACATTTCTTTACCCCAGCACTCAATACTAAAGTGATTTGTATCCTTACCCCAGCCAAAATCGATCACTTGGCAATACAGTTTTCTTTGCTGAATAATGAGGCAAAAGAGGTATGTTCAAGTAAGTATGGTTGGGTCCTGAAGCTTCTCCCTCTTCCCCTCCCCCCCACTCAGCTCATTCCCTACTTACACTTTAACAAATACATTAGGCATAATTTCATTAGCATTCAATTTCATTTGGGAGGAGAATTTAGATCACATGTTATGTACATAAATATTTATCAGTTGATTGAATTTGTACAGACTTAAGCTGACTATTGCTCTTATATATATGCATACTTCTAAATACTTTTTTAAAAGTTATATGAGCAAGAGTGTATTTGTTGCATTCCTGTAGTTATGTTCCTGAGCAATATTATTGTGTCATTTTTGTAAATATATGAATACATATGATTTTCTATATAGGCAAGAAGTTTATTTAAGTGAAATTTTTCAATTGATGGACTTATTTCTTCAGCTAAAGTAACTGTTTATGCACACAGATTGTTAAAAATGACACTATAGAAAGCAAACAATTATACTAGAACAGAGGTGGGGAACCTCCAGGTCATGAGTTATCTGGAGTTATCTTTGCTTTACAAACAGGGTTCATGTTTTGTTTTGTTTGTTTGTTTTTAATTCCCTTTTATCTTTAGGAAGAAATCACACATATAAAAGAGGAAGTTACTATGGTAAAAGAGTGTATCAAGGAAAAGAATAATTTGCTTGAAGAAGAGAAAAAAGTGCATGCCACACTTAGAAAAGAGATTGAGGTAAGGTTAAGAGTCATTTGATTAGAATATAATTACAGTCATATGAGAGAACATATATAGTTGGAGTTGTAAAATATTTTACTAAGCAGGTTGCTACATATCCAAACATATATATATTAACAAATGATAACACTAGCTCAAATCCTGAAGAATACTGAATATTGGTAAAATTCATCTAAGCTTGAGAGCTTATCTTTGATTTTTTGAGAGCATGGGAAAAAATTAGTCATAAGCATTTCCCCAAAATCCTGGGAAGGATTTCAGCCATAAGATCTTCAGGATTAAAGGAGATTAACTATCTCCTAGAACTGGAAGGGACCTTGAAAGGTCATCAAGTCCAGTCCCCCACCTTCACAGCAGGACCAAGTACCATGCCAGACAAATTTTTGCCCCAAATCGGCCTCCATAAGGACTGAACTCGCAACCCTAGGTTTAGCAGGCCAATACTCAAACCACTGAGCTATCCCTCCCAAATCTTAGAGTAATGTCAATCACTCCTCCTTTCACTTCTTCTGAAAGTGAATAAAGAGATTACAGAACATGTAATATTTAGGCTATGTCAATACTGTGCAGGTTTGCGCAAGAAATATGCAAATGAGGTGAAGCATGGAATATCGCCGTACCTCATTTGCATAATTAATGAGCAGCTACTTTTTGCACAAGAGGCTTTTGCGTAAAAAGGAGTCATCTACACAGCTCCTTTTTGTGCAAAAACCCCTTGCGTAAAATGGCAGCTCATTAATTATGCAAATGAGGCATGCCAATATCCACCGCTTTGCCTCATTTGTGTATTTTCTTGTGCAAGAGAGGGCAGTGTAGACATAGACTTATTGTTTCTAGAAGTTGCTCTTTATGGGTATAAAGCTTAAGATGTTTCAGAAAAGGAGATAATATTGGGATTTTTTTTAAAAGAGTCTGCAATGGAGTAGAATGCACACTTTTCCTAAAACAATTTACTATTTGTTGTTCTCCCTGGTATCTGATATCTAACCAATTGCACCAAGAAAATGGCCTTTCTTAATACCTTCAGAATTTGACCTGGCTTTAAATTAGGAATAGTACAACTGCTCCTAATTTGCTATCTGCCCAGATATCATCATTAATAGTCACAAAGTCAACTGTTTGAACAGCTGAACAGTATTCATAGACTTCCATATACTTTATCTCATTGGTGAAATTAAATGCCATAAAATGTAATGATGTGCTTCAAAGCCTGATAATATAAAGATTTTGAACACATTTGAAACTAGCTCAGTAGAGCACTACAATATAGAAAAGAAAGGGGAATTTTTTTCAGATTACATAGAACAGGAGAAAATTCTTAAACTGAAAACCAAATACACGACCGCTGTAAGATCCTAGGGCAACTCTCTGTTCTTTGTCATATGAAAAGGACTTTATTATCATGACCAAATCCTCCTGAGAAAGATAGAGGAGGAGTTTTAGAAAATTTAAAAGCATTCTGAAAAACGTTAGGTTAGAATAAACTTATTAACTGACTGGAGATTAAAGAGTATTAATTATCTACCTTATGGCTATTATGGACTGAAGATTAACTCTGATCCTGGGGTTACTTTCCATTTTCTTTAGGTCATTTGGAGTGTGAGATTTGAAATCTCAAAGAAAAAGGGAATGAACCTCTCCTCCCCCCTCCCCCCCACACACACAGACGTGAGGGTATCGTTTTTTTTTAAAGCCTACAAGGTTCCACAAGGCAAATGTCTTAGTCTAGGAGGTGTTTGTTTTAGATGGAGAACTGCTACCTAGAGCAAATTCAGCAAAACACTTGGTTGGTTGTATAATATGTATATTGGTAACTATAAAGAGATCACCTAGCTTATTTATAGTGCATTTAATGTCCCCATGTAACCTAAGGTACAGTCAAATCCAGATTTTGAGGAATGAAAAAGTATCTTCATCCTCTCTTCTTTGTATCGTCTTTTCTGTACAATACAATGTTAGCCAGAGCAGTGCAGCTTTCCTGAGCAGAGAGCCCTGCCAGCTACATTAGTCTGAATCTTTGTGTTTCACATATTACTTACAGACAGCCCTCAGCTGTATTCTATTCTGTTTTATTAGGTACAGAATAAAAGATGGGATGCTATTCTAAAACGTTTGCATTGTCAACTGAATAAGCTCCAGTCAAACAGAAGACACTGGCACTGGAACATTCAACAGATGGAAAAAAAGGCAGCTGACTTAAGAAAGTGCCTTGGGATAACAGAGTGATATGTAGTACAGTACAATACAATGTTCAGCAATTTAGAATATATGAGATCCTTTATAAATAACAGGTGGTTGTTGGCAATAATCCCTTGAACCTTGGACTAAGGATGAGTGATTTTCCCCCCTCCTGCTCTGTGTCCTAGAATATTTTGTGTTTTGTACCAACCTTTAATGGCTAAAGCAATATTCTTTTTTGTTTATATGGCCAGTCACTGCTCAGGAAAGAATTTATTACAATTCCCAGGCTGCCTCCAAAAGCATCTACCAACATTAGCAGCTCCCTTAAGGCCATGTGAATTTGCTATGTTCCATTTCATTTGGTTGGATTTTTTTAAGATCGTGTTCTGCATTGTTTTTCTGTCTGGGAAATTCATATGCGGCAGGTAATTGCATTTAATGAGACACAGAAGCTTCAGCTGCTTCATATACAGTTCTAATTAGTGCAGTGTTCTAAGTAACCTATAGCTCTCTGATTGCATTTTGCAATGCAGAAGAGTCAGCTGTACAA